ACTGTCAACCATGAACTGAGATGGCCACCAGAATGGCAAGCATTTTCTTTCTTGGTGGTGTTAGAGTTGAAGTGTTGAGATAGCTCTCTCTACTCCAAGTTGGCCAATCCTTTCTCCTGAGGGCTTCTCACCATGAACTACTACAGATCAGAGAAAAACTCAGCAAGATCCATGGTGAGCAGCTTCTGAGGAGACCGCAAGCAGACCACAGAGAAGTTCTGAGTGATTGGGAATGCTTGTTTCCAGGCAGCAAAGCCCTGGGTGGAACACCTTGATTTCTGTCTCCAAGCCACGAACAGGTTTCTGCACTTACTGGATATTTGTGGCCCTCAAGAACCCAAGAGCAAAAAAAAAAAAAATGTAATATTTCATTTATTCATTGAAGGGCATTGCATTGATCGCAGCTGTTTCCAGATAGAGTGGGCAATTCTGAGAGGTATGGCTCATCCTTTGTGGAGGGACACCTAGTTCAATACAATAAAAGGACCAAGTAGAGAGCCCAATGGACATCTATTACGTCTTTCTTATCACAAGGACACCCCCAACCAAGTTGCCTTGGTCCTGATGTTTTATCGAAGCTCCTGGGAGCCACCCTCATCCATCCTCAGCCCGGTGGATCAGCAGAGTTGAGCACCTTTTGCTCCAGAGGTAGGCATCTTTCCTACACTTAGTCAGATGCAATGTCAAGAAAGAGCACATGTCTGTGCTGGACCGATCAGTGCTTAGAAGATCTAATGCTAGATTAAAAACAGGTAAGATTCAAGCCTGGGGCTGCTGGGAGCCACCTGGTCATGAAAGTGGGACAAACTAACTAAGAAAAGGCTCCTCATCAAAACTCTCCCCCCAAAACTGAGAAACCAGAGCCACATGGCAGAAATAGAAACCATTTTCTGAAAATAATCTTTGTATCCCTAGGAGCACCCCTAGCCTGAAGCCAAGGTCGTCTTGAAAAAGCTGGAAAGCCCTTTCCCCCCTTCAAGCAGTTTGGACTATATTTCTGTTGCCAACAGGCCCAGGTCCTGACCATTCCAGATTGCCTCTAAGACCTCATTCAGTCCCACTTTGCTCTGTCTGAGCCAGACCCCTCCCCTTAGAGCCAGTCCACCTCCATCAGCTTCCAGAATGCCTTTCCCTAGTGCTGGGGACTGCATGCTAGTCAAATGCTCAGTCTCTGAGCTACATCTGAGCCTTCTGTTATCGAGCTGGGAGCAGGCATATGACAATCTGTGCCCAAGTCAGGTCCAGCAACCTGCCTTCAATAACCCAATAAAAAGAGCCAATTGAAAAGTGGAAAATCAAAAAAGGGGAGATTTATTCAATGCCACACTGAGAAGAGGGACAAAGAGTTACAGAAAAACCCTCAAGTCCATCTTTGAGGTCCTGAAATGAGATGGAAGTTTAAATAGAGGGCCAAGGATGTGCACATCTAACATGTCCCAGGCAAGGTGTGGTACTACCCACTGACTCATCTTTGTCTGGAATTCAGTCTCATCCTGAAAGGTATTCTGACAAGTTGTTATAACTGTATGAAGTATCTTTCAAGGAGACAAACACATGTGCACTAACACACACACACACACACACACACACACACACACACACACACACACAGCTATACATGCACCCATGCACACACACTTCCAAACACATAAGCATGCATGCCTGCACGCACACACTCATGCACTTGGGCTTACACACATACCTTTTCCTTCTGCTAGCATGAAATTCCTGGGGAAATCCCTATTTCTTTGGGGTCCATTGTTTCAATGATTTGATAGTCAGATTGAAAGACACAAGTGTCTCTTTGAAATACCTTCATTTCTGACAGGCCAATTACATTCCTTGGTGTTTTTGAGATAGGGTCTCATTAAGTTGACCAGGTTAGTCTTGAATTTACTATGTGGCCTGAGCTGGCCTTGAATTTATGATGAACTCATGATTACTCAGCCACCTGAGCAGCTGGGTGACAGATCTGTACCTCTAAGTGACACAAGTTTCTGGAGTTTGTAATGCTACTACTTCTCCTTAGAACAGAGCCCCCATGGGCTAGGGAGTGGCTCAGTAGTTAAGAGCACATTCTGCTCTTGCAGAGGACCCAGGTTCAGTTCCCAGAACCCATGCTACTCTCACAACAGCTTGTGACTCCCATTCCAGAGGCTCCAATGCCGTCTTCTGTCCTCCATAGGCACTACACGCACAAGGGACACTTAACACACTTGTAGACTAAACATTTATGCACATGAAATAAAAAAAAAAATTAAAATGACCAAATCAAATCAAAACAAACAAACAAAACCCAGACTGTATGAAAGGGAGAGTGGAGAGTGTGAAAGTATGAGAATAAAGAGAGGTGGCATGCTGGCCTCTGAGAAGACAGCAGGCAGGGCAACTATTTCAGGCCCACAGCAACCATTCCTGGCCTCCTGCAGCTTAACCATCAGAGCAAGGTTGGGTGGGTGGTGAGGAAAAGACCCCAGTAAGCATTAGCACCCCACACTGGCCACACACTTCCACTCGAGGGACCATTAACGAGCTTCCATTTCTTGAGTACGTTCTGAGCACCACCCTATTTTGGCACTTGACCTGCCTCTGCTCTTCCAAGTGGTCCCCAGTGTAGACATTGTACCAGACCCACTTCCCAGACGAGAAAACTGTGGCTTAAAGAGATTGGCTAGGGTGGCCAGTGAGGCAGTACAAAGACAAACTCTCAAAGTCCTGCCTTACTGATGATAAAGAACTAAAGCCACATTGAGGCTTTCTTTGAAGCTGCCCAAGGCTTTCTCCCATTTCTATAAAATAGGGTACACATTCCCCATTTTCCCAGGACTTAGTTCTGAAGTGGTTGAGATAGATATAGGAATTCTCCCTATATAATGAGCACAAGGCTTAGCTCCAAGTTATATATACTGTGGGCAAAACAAAAGGGCCTCACTGGGCTAAATCAGCCAGGCACACTTGTTCCCGACATTCTCCCAGCCCACAGGGGCCAGGTCAGTTCCTTTGTTCTACAGGACAGGCCTGGTAACAAGGCAGCCAGGAGCTCAGCTGTGGACATTTTTCATTATTTTCCACCCTGTTAACCTCCATCACAAGTCAGGCTGCTGTCAGGCTAAATGAGAACTGCAAAGATTTATCTCACTTGTCCCAGGGCTCAGCTCAGGAAAAAAACAGCCTTCGTTTCCTAAAGGCCTTGACGACCCTTTCTCTCTGAGTCATTCCCACCCAGGAAAAGGCTTGTGACAGCAGCAGGAGGGGGCCATACCAGGATCAGGACTCCAAAGCAGCAGACAGCTAACGCTTGTCGCCTGGCCCCTGTCAAGCACTGTGGGATGAATTTTTTTTTTTTTTGGCACTGTATTTACCTTTCTAATTATGTTTGCTTATGCAAATATTAAACTCAGACCACATTTCATAAAAACAGCTTCAAGAAGAAACCAAAAGTGTATTGTGTGGCAAGAGGCCATGAGGCAGCAAGTACAGTTCTTCTGTAGAAGTCATCCTCAAAACAGACGATCCAAGCACAGACCTCAAGAGATGATGCGGCTTTAAGTCAGCAGCCTGTCCCCTTTCTTATGTGTCTAGCCACCCTGGGCCACCAGATCACTAAACTGGTACCTAGGAAGAAGAGCTGAGCTACACTGAGAAACAGTCGCTTCTCTCCTAGGATCATAGCCAGCTTTCACAGAGTAAGGCCAAGGTAGCCTGTGCTGCCAATGCCCCACAGGGTGTTTCTACCCATTTCACAAGTGAGAAAACTGAGGCACAGGAAATTGAAGTCATCACCCCAGAGATACATAGATCACAAAGAATGACACCAGCTGGGATGGTCTGTGAGCATTTCACAAATGAGGAAACCAGGGCACAGGTTTAAGTCACAAGCCTGAAGATATTCAGGACACATGGGTTTTTAAAGAAATAGTACCAGGATTATTTTCTTTCTAAAATACTAAGGAATCTAGTCTTCTGCTAAGGTCCTTCCCCACAGGACATCATGTCTGACCTTCACAGGGGGCCCCCAAAAGCAGCCAATTTCAGCCTCACTCAACAGACTAAGAGAAGGCTAAATGATACACCCATTTTATTTAGAAAATTCAATTCTTCACACATTCACATAGTGCCTCCATTATGAAAGGCATTGTTTAAGAAGCTTGGGACAAAGGCTTCAGGGGGCATAAAAAGTGATGACTCTTTTCACCTTTGGCTACTGGGTATTTCCCTGGGTAAAACCTTTCTTTTAGCAATGGAGTAGTCCACTAATGCCTTAAAAGTAAACCAACTTTTGAGCCTCTGGTTCCCATTGTGAAAACTGATCCTAAGTAATAACCGATGTGGGGGAAAGCTCACGGTGGGGCTTTTTGTAACAGTAAAATCATGGCATTTACCAAAGTGTTCAACAGAAAGAGACCAGGTACATAGGGCAGGGTAGGTCAATATCACAAAATGCTGGGCAGTCATTCAAAACAGAAGTAAAGTAAATTTCAATGTGGGAAATTTTTGACAGACTGCATTGCCTGAGTTTGGCAGGTGACTAAAGTAGGCAGTAATATCAACTAGACAGTATGATCTTACACAGGGGGAAATGTGTATGCATTCTAGAAAGTGCACAGATTCCAGGCACTCACGGGAAATATATCTATACAGGAATACATAAAGAAATTCTTAGAATTTCTAAGTGATTGACTGGTAAAATTTCTGTTGATTTAAATTTCTGGGTCCATGTCCACCTCCATTTTTCCAGATTGCCTATGACACATGTATACTACACAGCTAGTCATGTAAAGATTTTTACTCTTGTGTCCATAGGTGCTAAAGTGGCTGAACACACACAGTCTTTCAAAGGCACATACAGAGGTCAAAGAGTATAGTGTGGCCCTCAGTCCCCCTGTATCATTCAACACCTGCCTTTCTGGTCCCTTGTCCCCAAAATACATCTCACCATGTTGGGAGAATATTGTCATGGCCAGTCTAGGAAGAGACCTGGGGCAGAATGGGCAGCTCACCTTTTTGAAGAGTCTGATGACATCCTCACTGATCTGGGAAAGGCGGACGATGACATTGTTCATGAAGATGTCATTGAGGGTGGCATGGTCTCGGCTCTCCCGCCGGGTCTGATGCAGTACCAGATACCAACAGTTCACAGGCGACAGGAGATATTGATCCTTCCTGTGGGAACCAAGATGGCTCAGGTCAGCTTCATGTCAGTTCACATGGTCACTGGTTTTTGACCCTCACAGCCACCTCCAAAGTCAATCTTATTACACTTTTTTTTTAAACAACTATGGAAACAGGCCAGAAAAGTAAAGTGATATTCCATGGTTAGAGAGTAGTTCTAGAGCTAGACCTTGGGTCATTGACTCTTGTCTCTGTCCTGAGCCATTTATGTTCCCCTCAACTGCAGCACTTGTCATGTTTCCTTCCCTCTTCTAGGAACAATCTATCTTAATGGGGCAGAGAAATACTAAATAGATTGCTCTGAACTATTGCATGGTTTCCAGGTCTATGCAGTGGAAAAGAACAAAAAGATACTCCCTCTCCTATAACCTGTCTCCATTAACCCACAGATTTCCCTGGGCTCTTGACACCTTTGTCCTTCCCCAGGGAGCTCCTGACCTCCTAGAAACCAGTGTGACAATGATGATGCTTGAAAGAGCTGGTGAGTATCAGCCTGAAGGGGTCAGGTTCTACATGTGGGAAGAGAGGCAAAGGAAGACACAAGTACCTACAGGACAAATAAGCCTTTGTCCTATAGTGACTGATGGGTCCCCAGACTGACTCAAGCTGGACATGGTGCTAAAACGGGATGTCACACTGTGATCCCCAGAAAACATCAGAAATACACCCTCTAGCCTTGCAGAATCAGAACTTTGGGGTTGGGCCTGGCAGTCTGGGTTTTAAGAAGCTTGCCTGGGCATTCTGATGTGAGCTGAAGTCTGACAATCTCTGTATATCACTGCTTCCCAAGCTAATGAAATGATAGCAAAATCACTCTCTTGACTCTACGTTCCCACAGATCCCTCTGTGGGACTCAGGAAAATGTATACATGCTCTTCTGAAAGAAGAAAGGCAAATAAAATCCTAAACACAGGTGCAATCAATGACCCCATCTTGACACACAGCATACCTGAGCTGGGGTTCTCGTTCTTCAAGCCCCAATCTTTCTCTTATCATGCTTTCTAGTGTGGAAAGAAATATTAGAAGCAAAGCCCACCATTAGCTCCAGAGAACCCCAACCCTTTTATCTTTAGAAATTGACTATCTCATGGAATTCCTCGAGGTTATAGAAAGCTGCCCAATAACATTCTGCCTTTAATTTCTATACCCCATCTCTTACCTTCCTGGGAGCTCCTAAAGAGCAGGTACTATTTCTGTTGTACTCACTGTGCTCAGGGCTCAGCCAGATGGCAACCACAAAGCAGATGCTGTGGCAGAGTGACCCTTGAGAAAAGATCACATTTGTACAGTTTTTTTGTTTGTTTGTTTTTAAGATTTATTCATTTATGTGTACAATGTTCTATCTGCATGTATCCCTGCAGGCCAGAAGAGGGCACCAGATCTCATTGCAGATGGTTGTGAACCACCATGTGGTTGCTGGGAATTGAACTCAGAACCTCTGGAAGAACAGCTAGTGCTCTTAACCTCTGAGCCATCTCTCCAGCCCTGTACTGGGTTTTTGAATGATGGATATGCGGTTTCCAATCACGTGTGTGTGTGTGTGTGTGTGTGTGTGTGTGTGTGTGAGAGAGAGAGAGAGAGAGAGAGAGAGAGAGAGAGACAGACAGACAGACAGACAGACAGACAGACAGACAGACAGACACAGACTGAATAACAAATTATCTAAGGAAGCCCTGAATTCTGAGAATGGTACTGAAAGAATGTTGGACATGAGTCTGGAAAACAGGATAGAGGCTTGATTGCAGCAGGTGTGGAGTGTCAGGCCAAAGTAGTTGGGATTCCACCATCTAGGCTATGGAAGTTTGAATTCATTGTAACACTATAGAATAACCTCAGGAATTTATACCAGGACAAAGTGAGTCTGATGCTCTAAGGTGGAACTGGCTATTAGTATTTTAAAAACATTCTTCAAAATATTTTACTCCGTAGTCAGAATTCAGAATTCCTCTTCCAGGAAAGGGGAAGTCACAGAGGTTATACAACTAGTGTGTGTTTCAGGAAAAATTCCCTGAGGGGAAATTGGCGGGAAAGTAGGGTGGATGCATACAATGGACAGATGGATGGGTAGATGAATGAGCTGGACAGATATGGAGGTAGGTGGCTAGAGTAGATGGATGGATGGATGGATGGATGGATGGATGGATGGATGGATGGATGGATGATGGATGATAGATGATCAATAGACAGACAGGTGTTAGATGTGTGGGTAGGTAGATGGATAGAAAATATAGATGATGAATGGATAGACTGATGAGCAGGTAGGTAAGTATGGACATAAATATGAGGCTAGAGACAGGAGTACCACTCATGAAGGAATCTCAGCTCAGGCAAAGAGAGTTGGTAAATACTGGGTGGTAGCACTGGGATTACTGAAGTCTAGACAAACACTCCTCAACAGGGTACGTTTCTCTTGAAGAGTTGCTGGAAATAGGAGTGGGAGTAGAAGGAGAGAACGATGATTCTGAGATTTGGCTTTCAGGCAACTGGGAGGAAGCCAAGGATGCAGACTAAGAGGAGAGCTGCAGGGAAAGAAGCAGGTTTGGGCAGACAGAGAACACATCCCATCCCACTTCCTACTGCTTCCTGGGTGGTGAAGGGAATCAAAGGATTAAAGGAGAGCTGCCATAATTGAGCTGTTACTGAAATTGCTTCAGGGGCTTAGCTCAATCTGGGATGCAAGAATTGAACAGCATCTGGGGAATTAAATGTGTAAAAATTATGGACGTTTCAGAGGAAAGCAAAAAGGCAAGTGATTTTGAAACTAGCACTCGGAAGTGCTAGATTGACTTTAATGATGGTCTTTAATTAGGTTTCCTGGCCAGAGCATAATGGTAGCAGACAGACAGAAAGGACAGACCTGTGGGCCAGGAGGTGCCAAAGCCCAAGAATGGGTTGAGGACGAGTGTAAGAGGGAGGAGCAGGAAGAGGAGGAAAAGGAAGCAGAGGGGCAGGAGGAGGAGGAGAAGGAAGGGAGAGACATCAGCAGCTAACTTGTGTCAGAGAGGTCTGGGGTTCTTTCAAGCTTCCATTCATTGTCTCTCTGTGGGTGCATGCATTCACATGGATTCACATGTGTGGGTACATGTGTTCACACATGTTCACATGCACTAGTTCATCCAGGTGCTATGTGTGTGAAGCTCAAATTCTCTGGCGAGCCACTGCCTGAGCCTTCCACTTAAATAAGAAAGATGCAAGAGAGAGAGGAGACAATGCTGTAGCCTCAGTAGTGTATCCGTGGGAAGGGGGCTGCAGAGCCTCCCATACCAGACCCAGAAGTAAGGTGGTCGGTGCTGTCTTCTTTCAGATAACACTTTCTAGACTGAGGATCAAGGGCTGGACATTCTCAGAGTAGAACCTGCTGGGCGGAGAACTATTACCAAAGGGCCAGCAAGAAGGAGAAACACGCTGATGAGCTGAAGGGCAGCTTAGGGGCCCCACCCGAAGCTCTGGGGTGAGACCCAGGGTGACAAATGGGCTGGGGAATATGGTAGAGATCAACAGCAAAGGGCCTTTAAGTACCATTCAAGAGTTTGTTCTTCACCCTGAATCGTCAGGGAGCAATAGAAGGATCTAGAGCAGTGGTTCCCAGCCTTCCTAAAGCTGCAACACTTTAAAACAGTCTCCATGTTGTGGCGACCTCCAATTTTCACTGCTACTTCATAACTGTAATTTTGCTACTGTTATGAATCATAATGTAAATATCTGTGTTTTCAGATGATCTTAGGTGACCCCTGTGAAAGGGTCATTCAACTCGTGACCCACATTGAGCAGCGCTGATCTAGGCCAAAGAAGTACAGGGGTCAAAGTGTCTTTTCAGCCTTTACAGTGGGACCCTGGGAGGACAGGGGTGACATCCAGGGGCCAAGTTAAAGGAGTCAGTACCTGGGTATTGACTGAAGCTGGGGGCCAACTGAGAGGGGTGGGGGTGAGGAGGGAGACTCCCGGATGACACCCATTTTCTGGTTGTGCACCCAGGATGCAGAAGTGGCCTTTGGGGGAATGAAGCAAAGGTTAGAGGTATGGCTGGAGGGAGACGAACCCTCCCCCTGAGAGTCTGACAAGGCTGCAATCAGAGAGAGGCAACTCTCCTGATTCCCATGGCTAGGAATAAGGAAGGGACAGGCAAGGACAGTGAGCCATAGCTGCCTTCACAAGCAGCATGCCCACTCTGAAGCTCCGCCCAGCATGGGATTCAGCTGGCTCTGCCTTCCTATCTCTTCCCTGCCCTGTTTCCATGCACACGTGTGGGGCCCAGCTCACACAAACAAAAAGCTAGGCATGGTGGTTTGATGAAGAATGTCTTCCATTGGCTCCTCTGTCTGAACACCTGGTCCCTGGTCTGGGTAGGTACAGTCTTGCTGGAGGTTTGGGGAGTTCGCAATCTCACCTCACTTACAGTGCTCACTCTTTGCTTTGTGTTTGTGATTGAAGATATGATTGCTTGGCTTTCTGCTAAGGCTGTCTGCTGCCATGCCTTCTCAGACATGGCCTCCCTTTTGGAACCATAAGCCAACAAAGTAAACTTCTTCCATAGGTTGCCTTTGGTCATAGTGTTTATCACAGCAACCAAAAGCAGCTATTATGCCAGGCGGGCTATCCACAGCCAGGAAAGTTAGAGCTAGCCCTTCTGTAGAAGGCTGGCTGGCATCTGTGACCTCAGCGACAATGGTACTAGACCCTTACTACCCCACTGGGCCATCAAGAAGAGCCACTAAGATAAAACAGAAAGACACTTGGACCTGGGGGTCTTGAGGCCTGACTTTGAGGTTCACTGAAGGGTCCTCGAGGAAGGAGTAGGTAAGGTAGGGTGGTACTCTGCTTTGTCTACCTTCTAGTGATATGACACTACATAGATCACCTATGCTTGTGGGCCTAGCTACTCAAACCACACCACTAAACACCAGAAAAGAGCTCCCTGGCCACTGTTCACTGGCACATCTGTGCAGTGCCTTTATGGTGTGCATTCTGTGGGGTCAGGCCCCAAGATGACATTGAGCACATGTGTGACTCCTGTTCTCCACATAGTAGACAGAGTACTGGGGGGGGGGGCGCGGACAGAATACTGGGGGCGTCTCGGGGGGGGGTAGAATCAGATTGGCAGAAAGTGCTAGAGTAAAGGGGCACACCATACCACGAGAGCCCAGAGCAAGGGGCTTGAAGCCTGACTTTGAGATTCACTGAAGTGTCTATGAGGAAGGAGTAGATAAGGCAGGCTTCTAAGAAGAATGGGAGGGGGTTAAGGGGAAAAGCATGGCCTCCCTTAGGGGTAGGGAATTTGGTGCATGTATTTAAGGGACAAAGTAAAAACCAACATAGATGAAGCATAGGAATCAAGACGGTTACGATAAGAGTGGTGCATAGTGAGGCTGGAAGCCTGCATGGCTGCTGGGCCCTGGGATGCCTGCTGCCTCATCCCATGTACCATCTGCATTACCCTGGGATTGCAGCAAACAATATCTGGAGCACAGGTGACAGATCAGGATGGCGGTCCTCACGAACCTTTGCTTCTCCTTTCCCTGGGGTCACCTGTTCATTTTCCTGGTGTCCCCTGGGCCTAATACCTAGCATCCTGTGCTACCATTGCTTGTTGCAGTCCTCTTTTTAGAGGATTCCAAAATGAAGTGAGCCAGCCTTCCCTCTCTCAATCCCACTGTGAGTGACTCTTTTGCTTTTCCCATCTTGTATCCAAGCCTCTCTTCGGCAGGCAGAAGCTGCTGAGCTAGGACATAAGGGCAGAACTTCTGCAGATGTACATATTTTCATTTTTTTATGGCTAGAAACTAGCAATGAACATTTCTGGTGAGTCACAGCTTGCTTGCTTTCTTTGGCTAAGAAAGGTGGGAATGAGGTTCCAAGAGACTGAAGCTGGAGAGGCCAAGCTTTGCCAAGCTGGTAAGTTAGGAAAATGAAATTAGCAGCAAGCTAGCTCTGCCAGCTTCCTGGCTGGGGGTTGGAAAATTCCGCTTAGCAAACAGAACCCAGATTCAAGCCTGCAGAACCCCCAGAGGCACGTGGTTCTAAATCCAGTGTCCTGGGATGTTGGGATCTAGAGAGCAGAAGTCCCTGCTCTTGACACCATCTTCACACACTAGAGCCCCATCTTTGGTCAAGTCCTGAAATAAAAATCCCTGCTCCACTAAAAAACACTTGGACAATCTCTCCATCTCTTTCCCTGCAAGCCTCTGTGTCTCCATTTATCTAACAGAAAAATGGATGTGGCATGTGGTTTATATAGAACCAAACAGAGGAAGGGCCTGCCCAAGGTTCATCTGGCCAGTTATTTCATCCTTCAACTGTGGGTCCTGAGTTAGGACCCACATGCCTGGCCCTCAAGTCCCTTGTCTGTGAGGGGTGATGACACCTCCTCTGATTCTTTGTGTCCCACCAGAATTCTTAGAAGGATATGTGAGCTAAAGGTTGGGGAATGAATTTGCAAAGTACAGGGTCCTATATAATCCTTAAAATCCACTCTTATCCTACCTACCTAATGGAATGGAGAAAAAAACTAAACTCCTACATGCATCGTGCCCTTTGAATCTACTCACCATTCTTAATACAAAAACTGGGTGCTGTTGATGCATATGTGACATATACATATGTATGGATATACACACACAAGTAAGGCCCAACCTGGTTAAGAGTTTGTGATTCACTGATTATGATCTGGGGATTCCAGGGAACGTGTGTGGGAGCAGTGAAAACCAGATGGAAGACTAAGACGAGGAGAAGGGGCCGCAGCCATCACAAAGAGCACACTGTAAGATGAGCTTCAAGAGCCCTGCCACAGAACAGCAAAGAAATCGGTGAAAGTTAGGCTATGGAAGGTGGAAGACGGTAAAAGGTGGAAGGTGGATGATGGTGAAAGGAAGATGATGGGAGGTAGAAGGTGCAAGATGAGGGGGGTGGAGGATGGAAGGTGGAAGACAGGAATTAGAAGTGATTGAAGGTAACAGTGATGGAAAATAGATGCTGGGAGACACGGGTGATGAAGTTTGGAGCTGATCTCTCAGGTGAATAGTAGTCACTATCTTAATGGCACTTTCACGACATGCAGGACAGATACATTATCATCTTCCTAGATGACACTAGTAAGGTCTGGGGAAATTAATTTGCCCAGGTCACAGCTTTAGTTGCAGATAGTGCAGGCAGGGTTTGAACCTTAGTTTGTCAGACCCCAAATGCAAATACAGACTCTGCTGTACCATCACATGGCAGGTCCATCACCTGAGAGAAGACGGAGGATAGATGGTGTAAATGACAGAAGATGGAGTTGAAAGGTAGAATTCAGAGTGGAGACGGTGAAGGGTGGAAGAGGGTGGAGGTGACACACAGTGGAGATGGCAGAAGGCGCAGGATAGAAGGCTGAAACGACAGAAGGAAGAATGATGTTGGAGGTGAGGGAAGCTGGAGAAGGGACAATAGAATGTACAAACGATAGACATTTGAGCTGGTAGAAGCTGCAGGATGGAAGCTAGAGGTGAGGGAAGGTGATAATGTTTCTACAAGGAACAAGAAATGGACCCCAGTGTGAGATTTGGCTAACACCAGGATTATCACATTCCAAACCCCAGGCTCGGTAGCTCCCTTTCATTTTAAGCGTGTGCATGCGTGAGTGAGTGTGTGTGTGTGGTATGCAAATATGCATGCACACACAGAGGACACAGGTGCCCTACCCTACCACTCCACACTTTATCCCCTTGGGGCAAGGCGTCCCACTGAACTTAGAGATAGGTTGGCACCTAGCCCCGGTAATCCTCCTGATTCCTCCCTCTCTGAAGTGCTGTCACAGGCATGTGCCAGCACACCTGGGCTTTTTGTGGGCTTTGTGAATTTGAACTCAGCTCTTCACGCTCAAATACAGAATGTTCTTACCCATGGAGCCATCTCTCCACTATTGTTGTCTTTTTCTAAAGACATTTACAAAGAATTTTCCTAGTCATAGATTTCTTTTTTTTTTTTAAGATGATTGCCATAAATAGAAGGTACCAGAGAATGTAACTTTAAGGGAAACAAACAACGTAATGCATCCTCAGGCAGGTGCTGAAGCCTAAAGATTGCTGAAAGATTAGAGAGGCGTTATCAACACAGGAGCATCTAGGAGGCTTTCTCCTCAAGGCTGAAAGAGAATTGAACAGTTATGACTCAGGGAGCACCAGTGAGCTTTCCTTTATTCTGAGGAGCGCTGATCAGTTCTGTTTTGTGCTATAACAGAGAAAGCGACCAAGAGGCAGAGTAAGACAAGGAGACAGAGACAGAGAGATTAGAAATGCCCCCTTTGCTTTCAAGTGCCTAGCGGGATGAAGGTGGCATGCCAGATCTACAAGCTGTTTGCTTCCTTGCTAATCTGACCTGAACTTTGCAAGACACACAACTAGCCAAGCCATAATAGAGGCTTTTCATAAGAGCCTTTCGCAGATCCCTGATGCTAACACAGGTCTGGTTAGATGGTGACTCTCAGCAAGCATTAGCCTATGCAGAGAGGCAAGGAAACGGACCTGCCATGTGATGGTACAGCAGAGTCTGTATTTGCATTTGGGGTCTGACAAACTAAGGTTCAAACCCTGCCTGCACTATCTGCAACTAAAGCTGTGACCTGGGCAAATTAATTTCCCCAGACCTTACTAGTGTCATCTAGGAAGATGATAATGTATCTGTCCTGCATGTCGTGAAAGTGCCATTAAGATAGTGACTACTATTCACCTGAGAGATCATATGGCCCAGGGTAAGGTATCTGTGAGGGAACTTGGAAAATTCAACAACTTATTGGTGTGAACGGGCCATGGGGACAATTATAAATATCTACTGAGACACAAGCCCAACCTGAGGGCTTCCTGCATCCCTACCTCTCCTGCCCAGACCTCTCTACCCTGGGTCCTCTGCACACCAACTTCAAATTACACATTGCAAAAATGCTTCTCTGACAAGCAATAGCCTAGAAGGCTAAATCTCAATTCTACTATCATTTTAAGACACGCTGCAACTGTGAAAACTGTGGCACTTCTTCCCCAGTAGAAAGTGTTCTCTTGGAAAGGAAGCCCAGTTGGGATCCTCCCTCTAACTGCTCTGTGAAGCTGGAAGACACTCCCAACCGTGCTGGCACCGAATATCTGCATAGAATATTAGGCAGTGGCTAGCCAAGCACCACCCAGCTCTTTCTAAACTCTGGCTTTCCCCCCAAATATTTCTAATGTGTTTGAACACAACTCTCTGCTGCTTTTTTCTGTGGGCTACAGAGTAGCCAGCATCACTTAGCCCTGGACAGGGGATTGTCATGAGGCATAGTCCCCTGAAAGGCAAGAACTACCAACAACCAAAGGAGTCAGAATAAAGGGGCTCTGTCACCCCAAACACAGAGGACTATTTGAATGGAACATCATTACACTATGGGGTTTGTGCAGAACAGAGTTTGTAAATTCTGTTTGTAGGACAGAGTTTGTCCCAGGGAGCACTAGTTTGTAAAGTATAACTATTTATCCTGGGGAGGGGAAATTCTATGGTCATATAGCTTTCAGAAAAAAGACAGCAGGGTTAGTACAAACCTCTCAGAGCCTTCCACACACTGTGCTGGGAACACCTTAGAGGTTCATTAAGAGCAGTCAGTGGGCTCAGCATGGCAGTGCATACCTTTAGTCCCAGCACCCAAGAGGCAGAGATGGGTAGTTCTCTGTGAGTTCAAGGCCAGCCTGGTCTACAAAATGAGTTCCAGAATAGTCAGTGATTCCCAAATACAGAATTCTTTTTCTTTTTTTCTTTTTTTTTTTCTTCCCCCACTACATATCCCAAAGTATTGGTGTTTTAGAATATACAGCTCTTGGGAAAAGCCTTGGTCTTGGAAACCTCTGCCTCTGCAGACCTAGCCAACTTGTTTGGACCAAACCACCCACCCTCCTGAGAAGCAGGGCTGGGCACCTATGTGCTGCCCTGCATGGTATCTTCCTGCCCAGGTTTCCTCCTGGTTCCAGACTATCAGAAGGAAAAGCCAGGCTCCTCCAGGCCTGCTCCCCAAAGGGCAAGACTGTGACTATGCTGGTGACAAGGAAGGTAGGCTAGTGCAGCCCACAAAAAAGACTGAAACCATTTGTCATCTAGAAAATCATCAAAGTCACCAGAACCCCCAGAAAGGCTTACTGATGCCCCAGAGCTTCTGATGCAGGAGACTGGGGGAGGCCTTGGACTCTGCATTTTGGAAAAGTCTCTACTTGACCAAGCCTTACACACTAACCCCTTGGTGGTCCCCACTCTCCAGCCAGAAGGCTGCTGTCAAGGTCACTCTGTCCTCACAGAAATGCAGCACCAAATACCAGGTACATGAGTGGGAAGCACTTTGCTCAAATGGTTTCACCAATGTAAGGAAGTAAAAAGATACACTGCCCACTAGGGCAACTCCAATTACCACTGGACATTTACTCAAGAAACATTTGTACCAACCATGGCCCAACCCTTCTGCTAGGTGCCTTGCTCACTGGCCATCTTCTCTGCCATTTCAGACTTTGAAACCCAGTGCTCATCCATAAATCCTGCCCATCCTAAGCCAGTGAAGAATGACAATCTGGATCTTCCTCCTTCTCTACAATGTCCAAACTCCCCCAGGAAAACCCAGGAACCAGCATCAAGCCCTGTGGACATAGGGGACAAGAAGTCAGTTCTCTCTTTCTACTATATGGGTTCTGGGGATGGAACACAAGTTGTCAGACCCTTAAGCTGTTGAGCTGCCATGACAGCCATTAGGCCTTTCTTTAAATCAAGTGCCACATGGAATTCAACCCAGCTAGGTCTGGCCCTAAATTTAGCACCTTCCACAACTGTAAACATCCCCAGAGCCCAGGCAAATTGGGAAAAGCTTGGGCCTTAGGGAGAAGTACCCACAGGACAAAAGAAAACACCCTGACCTAGAGCAGAAGGACCTGCCCTAACCTGCTTTTTGCCCCAATTCTGTCCCTAACTTGCTATGTGGCATCTTCAGCAAATCAATTCCCTCTCTGAGCCAAGTCTCTCAACTCAAGTAAACTGTGCAAACCAAGAATTAGTAAATTCCATCCTCCCACAAGCTCCTTCCATGTTCTTTCCTCTCCCTCCCCCTCTTCCCTTCCTCAGCTAGGCTCACTGCAGTGACAACAAAATAAGCCCCGGGCCTCTCCTCCAGCCAGAGAAGCAACCTGGCAGTGTGGGCACCCTTAAGTGAAGAATCTATGAGACAGCCTGGCTTCTCAGGACATCTAGGCTAAAGGACCAGAGCACAGCACAGACCCTATGATCAGAGGCAGCAGCCAGGTCATTGAGCACCCTGGAGTCAAAGGTGAATCAGCCTTCCCTGGAAAACTCAACTTCCAAAAGCCATCAGGCTGGACCATCACATTAGCATCATGTAGAGAGGGTCTACCCCAGCTGCACTGGCCTGGGTGACCCCCTAATTAGACTTTCATAGTGAGACAAGAAGCCAACTTGGTCCGACTGCCAGCTGGGGCTCCCATCCATCTGGTGGCTGAGTTAATGAACCCATGAGGGCCTAGTGAGGCTCATTACAGACAAGGTGAGGGAATAAGGGACCCCTGTGTCCTCGAGGCCTGCCCTCCCCCTCTCCTCCATGCTCTCACTTAGGATATGAAGGGAACTGGCTTCAAATCAAGAGGAAGGAGGAGCAGGTGATGAGACCCCAGCTGTGCACACCCGCTGTGGATAGCTCCAGCAGCAATTCAAGGTAACTGGAGGTCTTCAGAACCTGTGTGGTCAGATAGCAAAACTTAGCACTCAGAGGTTGGGGTGTGAGCAGTTAGGATATCGGAAGGTCTGTGTGTCATAATTAAGAAAGTAGGAAAGTGTTTGGGTACTGAGGTCCAGAACAGCAAGGAAGAAAGATGCTCTGTGGACCCAGTTCATGAGAAGACATTCTAAGGAGATAGAAGCTGAGCTGTTACCCAAGTAAAATACAACCAGACAAAGTCAGAATGTGCTGAAATGAGGTAGAGTCTCAGCTGGGCATAAATGAAGGCAGCTCCATGCCAT